AGAGGACTCCTGGGGAGTGGCTCCTTGCCTGACACTGAAACAGATGCTTGTTATATCATTGGGCCTTTGCTCTTCTACATATGCCTGAGGGTGGAAAGCACCTTCAGGCAGGAACTCTGATGCAGGGCCCTCCAGAGGACTGAGGCCCACTAAAGCTTGGACTTCCAGAAAGAGTCGTGGAGCCTGAGGCTGATCTGTCACTTCAGGGTTACTTTGGCAGAAAGACTCCTGTGTGTTGGGTAGGGTTTCTCAAGAAGAGAATAGAGAAGGTCTTAAATCGGAGTGAGGAAAAAGAGTAAAATATTTCCCAGTCTCTTTGAGACCAGTAGGCAGTTTAGCCTGGCTGCTAAGGTGTGGCAGCTCTCAACGCTTTTCTGAGGTAGGCAAGATGAAGGTAGCCAACAGCAAGACAGGGGGCTGGCAAGGAAGGGGTCTGAGCATGGACCTGGACCCTTACCACAGCTGTCAAGATCCTCTGAGTTTTAATATCTCATTCCCATTATCCCCAAAGTCCCAGAGAGGTCTCATGAAAAGTAAGTTTGGTCTCAGCTGTTCTGTGGAAAGCCATGTGCTATGCTTTCAATGTGCCCCCAATGTTCATGTGCTAGAAATTTGATCCCCAATGCAAGAGTGCTGAGAGATGGGACCTGTAAGAAGTGATTAGGTCCTGAGGTTCTGTCCTCATGAATGGAGTAACAACCTTATCCTGGGAGTGAGTTCCTGATTAAAGGATGTGTGCAGCCCCCTCCTACTCCCTCTCCCTGTCTTGCCCCTTCGCCTTCTCCTGTGGGATGATGCAGCAATGAGGCCCTTGCCAGATGCAGGCCCTTCACTTTAGACTTCCCAGTCTCCAAACCTATAAGAAATAAATCCTGTTCAGTCTTAGGGATTGTGTTAGAGCAGCACCAATGGACTAAGATACCACAGAGGATCACAGAGGGGCAGACGCAGGGAGGGCAGTGTCCAACCCCCGCACAGGCCAGAAATGCCAGAGCAACAGCTGCCAGGTGAGCAGGGAGCTGAACCCAGACATAGGGCAACCTCACAGATGTCACCAACAAAAAGGTGCATGTGGTGACAGGGGAGAATGCTGGCAGTAAAGAACCCTGAGCACCTTTGAGGTGGTCTCCTGGGAAAGGCTCCAATATCTAGCAGGCTTCAAGGTATGGAAGGAAGGGAATGATAGCGATTTCTAGAAGTGGGATGCAAGGGGTTCATGCTGACAGAATTATCTGGAAAATTAGATCTGAAAGATAAACTGCACATAAGGACTTCCCTTCTAAGCACTTAGCCCCAGTTTCATCTTTATTTGCAACCATCATTGCCTGTCTTCCCCTCTAGACTGTGCTTCATGAAGGCAGGAGCTGTGTGTGTTTCACTCATCACTGTCTCCCCAGCTCCTCACTGGCACACAGTAGGTACCCAAAAAATGGGCTGGATAAATAAACAATTTAAAATTAAAATGTTCTGGAGTGTCTGATTAGTCTCCTTTCTCTGTGTGGCTCACCTTTTATTTATTTATTTATTTATACCAAGAAAAGTATATTTTCAAGGAAAGGAAGACATGTCCTTGATGGAAAAAGAGTCATCTCATAAATATAGCACTGCAGCTTCCGTCTCTGAGTTGTAGGCATTTACTTATTCATTTATTTAGAGACAATTGAGTTGTAGGCATTTATTTATTCATTTATTTAGAGACACTGTCTCTAATAATAATGAATAAATAAATGCCTACAACTCACTCTGTTGCCCAGGCTGGAGTGCAGTGGTGCAATCTCGGCTTACTACAACCTCTGCCTCCTGGGTTCAAGTGATTTTCCTGCCTCAGTCTCCCAAGTAGCTGGGATTACAGGCACACACCACCACACCCAGCTAATTTTTTTGTATTTTTAGTAGAGATGGGGTTTCACCACGTTGGCCAGGCTGGTCTTGAACTCTTGACCTCAAGCGATCTGCCCACCTTGGCCTTCCAAAGTGCAGGGAATACAAGCATAAGCCATGGTGCCCGGCCATAAGCATTTATTTAGATAAGCAAAGGAATGTGGGTGAAGGTAAAATGTTTATTTTTAGAAACATGGAAACATATCCAACAATGATTCTCAGTGATGTCCAGCTTGATGCCCCTTAGACACTGCACAAGAGTGGCTTATAAATTAAAGGTTACATTCTGCACACAGGCATTGTAGCAGGAAGCACTTCTTATGGCATTACAATTCTTTGAAAACTGACCATCCACACAGGATAAAACAGCATGCACTACCTTTGGCAAACACTAGTCATCTATGACATATAGTCACTACTCCAGGCATGTGGCGTCACAAAGAAGCATGAGACCCACCCCAACTCTGACTGCAAGGGGAAAGAAGCATGTGTCACTCCAAGACAGTGTGGGTGTAGAACAGAAAAGAGAGGCTATTTCAGAGAGGACTGCAGATACTGGAAAAATACATTGAGAAGTTTAGCAAATAATCCCCAGCCCCCTACCCTAAGAAGCCTCCCCTGATACAGAGAGAAGTTATTGAATTAAATTTTTATAAATGAACATTTGGCACCTTTTACCTCAAGCAGCAATGGGACCTAAGCTCATTTTAAAGCAGTTGTGCTACGCAGGGTCACCAGTCCATCTGGTGACTAACTTGCAGGGCTGCATGGTGGCAGTACTTAACAGGCTCTGTGTGCGGGGAGAAATTAATCCTACAGCAGCTACGACAGACAGAGAGAGGTCTCGCCCCAATCCACAGCAGGGCTTCCTCATCTGCTGGAGTCCTGTCTAAGCATCTCTGCAGCCTAGCCACCACAGAGCGCTTTGCACTTTGGTTTGGATGTTGACTTAATATGAAACTCCAGATAAAAGAAATGAGAAGTCTCTCTTCTCACCATGCCCTCCCCGCCTTCCTTGAACTTGGGGTCAGACCTCTGGGGAATGAGACGCTTATCTGCAAACAGTCCAGAGGCCAGTACCAAGAGGGGACTCCCACCTCTCTCCCTGTTAGGGCTTTCAGAGGGAGCCCGGGCAGTTTCCACCTCGGCCATGCAGAGCTGGGTAATTACCGGGCGGATGAGCTCAAGCCCCTTGCCCTGCTCACCTCCCACTAAAATGCATGGCACAGCACAATCATGAAATGTGCTTATTAATTTTACTCATTTGACACTGCGCTCTTCTGCCCTGAGCTAGATGTTAGAAGAAAATGATAGGGATAGATTCTGCTCCTGTCAGACTTACCAAGACTTCCAGAAAACCAAACTATCAAAGGCCATCTGCCACCCACTAGCCAAGCATGCAGGATGACCCCAAACATACAAACGGAATGCTAAAGATACAGATCAACAAAAGAGGGCATGGGAAGATGGTGAGACCACTGCCCTGTCATGCTCCCTGTGAGCCCTCCTAGGAGAGTGACCCCTGAGCCCGTCCTCTCCCACAGTGGGAGCTCCCAGTCCCTGCTTTGATTCACGACTTGCTGCTTCATCCCTAATTCATCAAAAGACACTTTGGCTTCTCAAATCAGGAACATTTTTATTAGCTTCCCCCAGAGTATCATGGCACAAAGCCATACCTAATGATTCTATTTTATGGAAACATACACATTCAAACCATGCTTTGAAGTCAAGCAGTAGGTAAGACTCAAATCTTTGTCAGAAAAGATTTCTTCATTTTTTCACTTTTAAAATGTTTATGAGCTTTCGAACAGTTGGGAAAGGGACGTGTAGCATTTGAACAGGCTCTTCCTTCCTTACTGAGGAGCCAGCACTGGCTGACCCAGTACAGATTCGCATTGAACATTGCAGTTCTTGATAGGTGCTGATTCTGCCCACCCACCCTCTGCTCCTGGAGACATCTGGCAATGTCTGGAGACATTTTGGGTTGTCACCACTGGGAGAGGAGGGACAGGTGCTACTGGTACTCACTAAGGAAAGGCCAGGAATGCTGCTGAACAACAGAGGGTGCATAGGATAGCACACAGCAAAGAATTATCTGCTTCTCTTGCCCTAAATGTCAACAGTGCTGAAGTTGGGAAACCCTGCCTTGGGGTTTCCTTTCCTCTGCTGGACCAGGCATTGCATCCTCCTCACTGCAGGACATCAGTCACTATTCTAATTGCTGTGGCAGGTTTTCAGTTTTGGCTACTTTCACTCTTATGTATTCTTGGTGCACATTTTCAGTGAATAAGAACAAAACATTGTCACATACAAAATGAGGAAAGTAAACATAAGGCCACCTTAGAATCTCAGAACACATGATAATATCCACTGTTAATTAAACTCTCCTAATGTTCCTCTGTACTTTGTAAGCTCCACCCAAATCAGAATTTACCTACTGAAACAACAAAACAAGCAGTTCCAATCATCAGGACTACTGAGCACCAGCACAGATGTCTACTGAAAAGCAAGGAAAGTTCTCCACTGAACTGTGGCGGTGTGTTCAGCCACAGCACTGGACTTGGAGGAGGTCTGGTAGTGATGATTCACCATATCCAAGGACTGGGACTCTGCTACTTCACTTCTCAGAGCTTGGGTTCTCCTAATTAGCAAAGAGGCAATACAGCTACTTGCCCTCCCAGTCTTCCAAAAACTCATGAGAGCTAAATGAGTTCTGGGTAGGAAACGTTTTAAACTGTTAAGAGCTACACAGATGTAGGACAATGAATGCCTTTATAATATTCATACATGCATGACAATATATAACAACCACCAGAAGTCTTTCACAGACTCTGGATCCTTTACATGAAATGTCACAACCAGAAGTCGGAAATCAATGAATCCAACTCCTTAATTTTATAGAAGGTGAAAATGACCATCACAGAGGTGGTCAAGGCCAGGAAATGGCCCAGATGGGCTCAGGTCTTTTGACTCCCAAACCAGAATGCTCTCCACACCCTCCCTTAAGTTCCTAGAGGGAAGAAGTGCATCTTATGCAAAAGGGTCAGAGGGTCTTGGACACAGGAAATAAATACTGTAGAATCAGTGAGCAAAATGTACAAACTAGTATCTTGACTTACTACATCATAGCCTGTCGGGGCTCGGTTCCGAGAAGCCACCACCCCGACTCCAGTGATGGGATCCATTGATGTTTCTGGCAAGGCTTCTGAGAGGTCTTTGACTTCAGGCATGGTGGACTGGTCCTGGTTCAGAAAAGGAAAAAGAAAGCACAAAATTCAAACATAGCATTTACGTGAATAATATGAAAGCTCAAACAGACAGAAATAGAATCATGGGGCAAATACCGTGAGCCAAGGTCCACATAAGTGAACTGGTTGAAAGAGTCCTGATCCTATGTGACCCTTCTCCCCAGTCAAGAATTCAATTCACCTCTGGTCTTCACTCTTCTCAAGTCAGCTTTGAACACTGAGCTAAAATGTGGGCTTGCCTCTACTTTCAGGAGGTAATTTTGACTCAAAACCAAGAGCAAGTAATTCTTAACTCTGCCATCCAGCTGCTTGATTTCTGAACATATACCAGTAGCTGCTCTGAAGACACAAAAGACATGGCTAAGCCTAACAACACCTTTCATCTCTCTCCCTTGCAATCTCTCCTATGGAGGCATAGACTTCCAAATCCACAGCCAAGGTTAGATCTTCGGCAGGCAGAGCTTTGCAAAGCAAGGAATTTTGCAAACATAGAAATAAATGTTCTGAGCTCGGGGTGAAAGAATGGTGTTGGAGTCCAGGCTCCATACTGACTAGCTGGTGAGCTTGAGTAAGCAATTTAGCCTCCTGGAGCCTTCATTACCCAGTTATAAAATGAGGTCATGATACTGACCCTTGCAGAGCTACTGTGAGGACCAAGAGAGGTCAAAGAGAGTGGATGTAAATGAAAGGCTTGGAGAGGTCCGTGGTACACAGTAGGTGCTCAACAAAAAGTACATATGACTGGTCGGGTTTGGGACACACAAGCCCAGGTAACTGGCCAGAAATGTGATACGCATCACTCCCTAGGGTACTGGCAGAGTCCTTTGTTGTGTTTCACCCTAGGGTCATGTGGGCACTTACTCAAAGCCAAATACTAACAATGACCATAATTCTTGCTGGGCACTTTGAGAGAAAGGGAGTGAAAATGGAATTATTATTCTGCTGACTGACTGCCTCTTGATTTGACAAGAGGAGACAGGTAGAATATAGAGAGCACTGGGTCTGGGCAGCTGGAGTGGCAGTACACCAGAAAGCAAATAAAAGAGGCAACACCATATGTAAATGAACCTAAGTACTTTTAAAAGGACAAGCAGTGAAAAAGAGCAAGTCAAATTCTACCTCTTTTTGCAGCAATTAAACTCCACTGGCTATAGGTCTGCCAGTTCTCTGAAGGCTGGTTACCGCTTCTAACACAAACCAAACACCCTACCTCACTAAGCAGGCAGGATGAATATTCTTGCTTCTAACCTAGAATCAGAAAAGGCAGAGGCCATTAAAAATGACTGCAGCCTCCTAAATAGAGCAATCAAAATGCCGTATGCAAGTCTCCCATGAAGTCAGTGGAACCCACCAAAAGCTCCGGAAACAGACTTGCCAATGAAATGGAGCCAAGTCCTCCATCAAAGAGAGGAAGTGCCTGGCACAGCTGCAGTCTCCTTTTCTGTTTACAACAAAAAGCTTAACACAGTTATGCTTTACTTAATTCTTCTGAAAATAAGCTTCTAAATGACCAGGGCAGGGGGTATCACACTGCATCACTGCATCATTTTCTATTTTCAAGTTTCATTTACCAGGCAGGTTTATGTGCATAAAACACAGGGCTTTGTACTTCCTGCACACAGTAGGCATTAAGTAAATATTTACTGAGTGAATACACATATATGTCCCTAATAAAGGTTAAGAATTAAATATCTGCACCTGCAGATCCAGAGCAGACACTGATCGAAAGGGCTCAGCACTTGAAAAATCCCGTATTATTGGTAACATGAAAATAACATTGCTGCAGTTTGCAAAATATTGGTACCTGCTGTTGGTTACCAAGAATGCTTCGCAATTAACAACTCATTAACAGAATGTAGGAATTCTGCCAGTGCTAAAATATCACGCTGTGAATTTAATAAAGAACATGTGAGGTAAGTTTTTTTTTTTTTTTTTTTTTTAAATTTTTTTTTTTTTTTTTTTTTTTTTTTTTTTTTTTTTTTTTTTTTTTTTTTTTTTTAAACATAGTATGGCCTCTACTAAAGAGAGAGAAAAAAAGGGGAGAGAGAGAGAAGGAAGTGGGGGTAAGCATGAATAAGCAATATCTTATTTGCTGATGGATTCATTGCTACATCCCCTGGTCACAATATCCTCCCCTGTACGGCGACGACAATGGCCCTCTGCCCTGGAGCCCGCTCTCAGCAGCAGGAGGGTCACCAGGCCCTGGAAGAAGCCATGCTGCTCCCACAATGCCCCGCGGTGGCCCAGGAGAAGGTTCCAAGATGGCTGCGGGCGGCCCAGCTGAGGCAGACAAAGGAGTCGGGTCTGGCCTGCCAGAGGGCCCCCACAGAGCTGTGCGCAGAGCATCTCTACCCTCCGTTCTCTCTCCTTCCCCCGAGCTGCTGTGCCCCGGACGGAGGCGGCCTCTGTGAAATATGGACAAATGGCTCCTGGCCGCGCGGGCTGAGGCCGACTCATGGAGGAAACGCCATCACCAGCCAAGACAGCTTTTAATGAGAAACGCCCAAGATATCCATGGCAGGGGCCATCACTCAAAGCCGCTTGCCCTGAATTACATATTTTCTGACTGCAAATTACTTTTAACGGCGTCTCTACCAGCACTTCAATTGACCTTCCTAACAAAAGGCCATTTATTAACTAGCGTTCCACGATTCCTGGGCTGCGGGGAGCCTCAAGCCAGGAAGGATGGCCCCGCGGCAGAGGACTTGGCGAGGCCATTCCTGCGGGCCCACAGAGCAAATCGGATCGGGGAGGAAAGAACAAGGGAGCCAGATGCTTAAGGCCAACATGAACTTGCCTGGACTCTCACATCAAATCTCGAGGCCTACTTGCAACAGTCCCAGGTTGTATCAACAGCCCCCCATCCAGCATCCACCTCTATGTCAGAGTCCCAGCTGCCGGCAAAACCCACTAATACGTATCTGCTGCATTTCGACAGCGCTTTCCAGCTCTCAAGAAGCTTTCTCGGGCTCCTTCCCAGTTGAAGCTCACATCAAACCTGGTAAGTAGCTGGGTCACCTCCCAGGAATGGGACAGCTGGTCTTACTCCCCAGGTCTGGTCTGTTTTCCATTGTACTAGGCAGAGAGGTACCAACATGCCGTCTGATTGAGAAAGCAGTTTGAACACTAATTATATCTTAAAATGCCAAAGCTTTTCCTTCTCTAGCTACAGCTCAGTAAGTCAAGCAAGGGGGAAAAGAGTACAGAAAGATAAAAGTAACATGGGATTAATTTTCCTCACACCTCAGTTTCAAGATTCAACATTCCCCTCATAAATAATTTACAACAATAAAAATGAGCTAAGGCCGTGTTTGTGTAGGATGGAGGTAAATTTAGGCCTAATGAGGGAGATCCGAGCACTGCACAGGAGGGAATAGGTTGATCTATGGCACAGTGCAAGCAGGATCGACAGCTCACAGGGGCTCCATTACCAACTGGAAGTTGCAGGGCCAATTGGGAGGAGGGGGAAGCAAAAGGGGGAAACTTGTGCCATCCCAGCTGTGGCTGCAAGAAGGGTCTGTACAGGGAACCCCCAAAGTTGACCCAGTGTTTTGGATGACAAGACAAATGTTGAGATTTTTCAGAATGATCGGATTGGGCCAATCTCAGTCTATTCTCAGTACATGCTGGGTAAGGGGTAAAGGTGGTGGGGTGCCAGGGATGCAAACTGGACCTTGAGCAGGTCCTCCTACTTTAACCTCATGATCATCAGGTCCCATATGGATCCACTCCGACCTCTCCCCTGAGTGGGCATGCAGCTTCTGTGAGATAATTTCCAAGGCAGGGGGCTGCAGAGCCGTACTGCAGAGGCTTCCTCTGCAAGGCAGGAGGGGTGTGTGTGTGTGTGTGTGTGTGTGTGTATGCACGCACGCACACATATATGTATGTGCACCCACATGTATACAGACTGGGAAAGCTGGGGAGGGTTAAGGTGAAGTGTTTTCCAAGCCAGGAGGATTTCTTCCACCATGCCATGCTCAAAGAGTACCATACAACCCACACAAGGCGGGGGGCAAGCCTGCTTCCAGCTTCCGCCTGCAGTGCTGCAGATAGCACTTGAGGAGGCCCCAGCTCCCAGCGCTGCAGCACCTAGCCAAGGCTGTCATCCCAGGTTCATGGAGAAATGAACTTTAACTATAAAGACCCTTCATACAGACGGCACACTGCTCCCTCGTAGCTGATCAAAGAATTACTACAACAGTGTGCTTAATCCCTAAAAGTCAGCAGTGCTGGGCTTAACTGATGCTGAACATTGTTTCGGAATCAAAGGCATGCCTCCCAGCCCCAGTCTGGGAGAAAACTGAGCTACTGTATCACAGTTGAAAACTCAGGGGAACTTTGATATCATCTCTGTTTAATTTCCACGGCCCTCCTGAGCCTGGGGTTTATCTCATTTTATCAACTCCTGTACTGAAATCAAAACCCAACCAACAAAGCTGAGACCTCTCCCCACTGAGGCCCTTCCAGCGGCGGGGTGTGAGCCGAGTTTAAAGTGCTTTCAGGGAGCAACAACCGCAGGGGGCAGGGGGCGCTGCCTTCAAAGGAGGTGCTGTGGGCAGCGGCCTGAGTTCCAGCCTCCCGCCATCTCGGCCTCCTGCTGTGGTGGTGAGGCAGGCTCAGAAGCGGCACCAGCCAGTGCTGCTGGTCAGGGCTGACGGCATGACTGGCATACAACTTTTGAGGAGAGTAATTTCAAAGTATTAAGGGGGGGTAGGCTAAATTGGGCTACTGTAATTGAAATGACAAAACCAGTGGCTTAATTACATCCCTACAGAAGGACAAACTGGTGATCAGCTTGCTTGAAATCCAAAGCCAAGGGCACCAAAGACAAAACTGTCTGCCCACATCTACCAGCTTACAGGGTTGAGGAAGGGAAAAGAACAAATATTTCATTCACCATGGGAAATGCCGCAAGAGCAGATGGGCTATACCCCAGTAAAAGCTGCTGCGCCCCAGCCTTCATAGAGAAGGTCTTTGCCTGTTTCCCAGCAGCA